TGGGTGGGCTGTGATGTCCCTGCCTCAGAATCACTAGCTGGCCAGAGGTCAGTCATTGGGTCTGTCTGTGGACATCTGCTGGTTATCCACAGGCTGTGAGTGGAGGAAGAACACAAAATTAAGAAGAGAATAAAGGAGATTAAAATCCAAAGCAGAAAGTAATGGTGACCTCCTTACCTAGCAGGTAGGCTCTGGGGCTGAGTTCTGCAAGAGAGGTAGGGGGCAGGAATGTCCCTGCCTCAGAATTACTGGCTGCCTGCCAGTAGGTCTGTCTGTGGTCTGCAGCTGGGGACAGAATAGGCTAGTGGACGGGCGCAGTGCCTGGGGTCTTCAGGAGATGTAGGTGGGCAGTGATGTCCCAGCCACCGAATAATCACTGGCTGGCCAGAGGCATGCCACTGGGTCTGTCTGTGGCCTGCAGCTGGGTGCTAGACAGGCTGTGAGAGGAGGAAGAGCAGGAAATTAACAAGAGAATAAATGTGGTTAAAATCTAACTCAGTAAGTAATGGTGACCTACCTAATGAACAGGTGGTTGCTGGGGCTAGGGTCTGCAGGAGAGGTAGGTGGTCAGTGATGCCCCAGCCACAGAATAATCACTGGCTGGCCAGAGGCATGCCAATGGGTCTGTCTGTATCCTGCAGCCTGGGACGAGACAGAATAGCTAGTGGGCACTGGAGCTGGGGGTCTGCAGGAGAGGAATGTGGGCAGTGATGTGACTGCCTCAGAATAACTAGCTGGCAAAAGGCCTGGTGCTGGGTCTGTCTGTGGCCTGCAGCCCAGGACAGGACAGGCTGTGAGAGGAGGAAGAGCAGGAAATTAACAAGAGAATAAAGGAGCTTAAAATCCAAAGCGGAAAGTATTGGTGACCTACCTACCTAGCAGGTGAGCCCTGGGGATGGGGTCTGCAGGAAAGGTAGGTGGGCATTGATGTCTCTGCCCATTGATGGCTGGCCAGAAGACTGCCGCACAGTACATGTGTGGCTTGCAGCCAGGGACAGGACAGTCTAGCTGGTGAGCGCTGGGGCTGGGGTTGGCAGGAGAGGTAGGAGAGAAGTTCTGTCCCTTCCTCAGAATCACTGGCTGGCCAGAGGTCTGCCACTGGGTCTGTCTGTGGCTTGGAGCTGGGGACAAGACAGGGTGTGAGATGAGAAAGAGCATGAAATTAACAAGAAAATAAAGGAGCTTAAAATCCAAAGCAGAAATTAATGTTGACCTACCTACCTAGGCAGTGGGGCTCCAGGGCTGGGGTCTGCAGGAGAGGTAGTTGGGCAGTGATGTCCCTGCCTCAGAATCACAGGCTAGGTAAAGGCCTGTCGCTGGGTCTGTCTGTGGACTGCAGTCCGGGACAGGACAGGCTGTGAGAGGAGGAAGAGCTGGAAATTTACAAGAGAATAAAGGAGCTTAAAATCCAAAGTAGAAATTAATGGTGACCAATCTACTTAGCAGGTGGGCTCTGGGGCTGGGGTGTGCAGGAGAGGTAGGTGGTCAGTGATATCCCTACCTCAGAATCACTGGCTGGCCAGAAGACTGCCATCGGGTCCATCTGTGGCGTGCTGCCGGGGACAGGCCAGGCTAGTGGGTGGGTGCTGAGGCTAGGGTCTGCAGGAGAGGTAGGTGGGCAGTAATGCCCCTGCCTCAAAATCACTGGCTGGGCCGAGGGCCGCCCCCCGGGCCGGCT